TCACCCATTTGAACAATCTGAAACTACCACCAACTATTCAAATTTTACAAACAACCTCCGAAAAGTCTTAAAAAATACAAAAAATTATGTTTGTCTAATAAATTCTCCATGAAATATTTTATTAAATAATCTAACTAAAAAACTAACTTTTATCAAATACTTCTGAGCTATCTGAGTGATATTGGAATGTTATTAACTATTAAATTATGATTGTCTAACAAATTCTCCATGAAAGATTTGAGTGAGGCATCATACAATTTTCACTTTTGCATCGAGAGACATTTGAGTGAAAGTTTCCACATTTGCATGATAAATGATAATAACATGCAAAATTTAAAAACTTTATGATATTTTTTTTATATCAAAATACAACATTGTGATATTTAATTATCAAAATAGCAAACTTTATGATATTTTTGTTCAATTTAGCCTATTTTTTATTCGACCTGCTTAAACCACTACTGACTACCTTATTTCAAAAAAGGGGGAAAAAACTTATTATCATTTCACCCACTCCACCAAAATCTATAATTCGCAATCTAGGGCCAAATCTAGCTTAGGTCATAGAATAAATGCCAATCCAAAAGTAACGCGGGTACAATCGGGACCAGCTCACGGGTGAAGCTAATAACCCGCTGCTTGCCGCGTCCGAGTTCTTATCGCAAGGGTACTTTCGTCATTTAACATGACTTCTTTCGATCCTTCGATTGATAAAGATGATCAATGAAGACAAAGCGTTTTAGTTTAATGGTTTGTTTCTTGCACGCAAATGTTCATCAATTGTAGTTACTGGAGTTGGCACTTTGATTTAGCGGTTGGAGTTATATGTAAGATTGGGGAAATATGTCTTTTAGGAACTTGAGGACACGAGTTTTCAAACTTTTGAAGTTTTTGATACGGTTTCGTGAGCCCTAGAGACCTGGGATGGACAGAAAGTGCAGATAATTTGTCCAATGCATCCACTTTATTGTGCAAATTTCGAGAGAAGAAAATACAGTAATGTCTGCCTTGCAAAAAAAAAAAAAAAAAAAAATTCAAAACTATGTAATAAGAATTCCTTCTCGTAGATTGTGACATAACAAAAGTTTAAAAAAAGGGTCTAAAAATGTAGATATTTCTTATTTTCAAATTTATTTGAGCAAGTAATGGTCAGAGTGACATTCTAGCTTTGGAAGAAAAAGTATAAAATTGGATTATGATATTTCATACGTCTCTTATTTAGGATTCGAATGTCTTTATGATGTATATTGAAATATAATTAGATGAAATGAAGGACGTGGAAAAAATCATAACATAGAAATTGAATTTTAAAAGTGGAATCATTTGACATGTTTAAAAATATAATGCTTTCAAAGAATGTCACAAAAAAGTTCCTAAATTTTTTTCGTATTTCTACCAAAGTAAGAAAATAAAGCTTAAAAGTGAAGTCAAAAAGACAATTAACACAACTTCCACAACAAAGAACCACTTGCTCACTTAAATTCTCAACTACAAACTAACAGACCCTTTCTAGTATCTCCATCTAAAAATTCCCTACTTTTCTTCCCAACTACAATCACACAAAAGAAATAAAATAAAATAAAATAAAACAATAAAATAAAAATGAAAATTTATAAATAGATGAGCGTTCCACATAAGCACTAAGCTCTTCCAAGGCCCACACTTTTAGTAGGACCCACATCCCAAATCCCTCCCTTATATATATTCAACCAGTTTTCTCAAAATAACACCATCTGCAATTACTTACTCTAGCAGTCAAAGTACAATAATAAAGAAGCCTCAAAATAAACCCAAGTGCAAAAAAAAATTGCATTCTTTTGAAAGAAAAAAGAACCAGCTTTGAACCTTTGCTCTCCTCTCTCTGAGCAAATGGCTCTCAAGTTGGTCTTAATGCTAATGGTGGCTCTGCTGGCTGCGGTATGGTCACCACCCGCGGTGACCGCATCCGTCACCTATGATCACAAGTCAGTTATCATCAATGGGCAGAGAAGAATCCTCATCTCTGGCTCCATTCATTATCCTAGAAGCACTCCTGAGGTCAATGCACATTATGGGTCTCTCTCATTTATTAAAAAAATTTAATTTTTTGGGGCCTATGTTGATTTTGTTGATTTGGGTTGCGTTCAGATGTGGCCTGATCTCATCCAAAAGGCTAAAGATGGGGGCTTGGATGTTATACAGACCTATGTTTTCTGGAATGGGCATGAGCCTTCTCCTGGCCAAGTACGCAAAAAGATAAAAAGTTTTATGATTTGTTGCGGTGGGTTTTGTTTGCACCTTTCTTATTTGTTTTGGGTTTTTTTGGTAGTATTATTTTGGTGGGAGATATGATCTGGTTCGCTTCCTCAAGCTTGTGAAGCAGGCTGGTCTTTATGCTCACCTCCGCATTGGCCCTTATGTTTGCGCTGAATGGAATTTTGGGTAAAATTTTAAACTTTTTTGATTTTTTTTCATTAATACCCATTTTGATTTAGTATGAATTTTTCTTGATTTTATGCATTTTGATTAACAGGGGCTTCCCAGTTTGGCTAAAATATGTTCCTGGGATTCATTTCAGAACTGACAATGGACCTTTCAAGGTCAGAATATTTAGTTGAATGCACAAAATCTGCTCGTCTGGCAAAATATTGATGTTTAAATTTATTTTGATGTAGGCTGCAATGGGGAAATTTACAGAAAAAATCGTATCAATGATGAAAGCTGAAGGCTTGTATGAAACACAAGGTGGTCCTATTATCCTCTCTCAGGTATAGCATCCATTCTTATCTCAATTGATATACGTAATCAATTTTGTTCAGGAACTTATGTTGTTTTATTGAATTTGATAAGATTGAGAATGAGTATGGTCCTGTTGAGTACTACGACGGAGCTGCGGGTAAATCATACACGAATTGGGCAGCGAAAATGGCAGTTGGGCTCAACACTGGAGTTCCATGGGTTATGTGCAAGCAAGATGATGCTCCTGATCCAGTTGTATGTTGAGCTTCCTCTCTCTTTATTCTTCCATTTAATTTGATAAAAAGGCTAATTACACATATACCCCCTGTACTATCGTTCTTTTGAAATTACTCCCTTTGTAGTTCCATAGTTGCAAATATACCCGTTCGTCCTTTTTATTTTGCCCTGGGCGAAATTTTGGTATATATTGCCCCTGAGTGAAATTAGTGAGTTTATCTAAGGGTAAAAGAGTCAAAAATTTAACCCAGGGGTCAATGTGCAATTAATCCTGGAAAAAATTGCTCATTCTGACCTGTTGCTACTTTTTATTGCATGTTACGGTCACATTCCTATAGCTGCTTATTTTGTTCAGGCATCACTTTCTGTTGGTCACTTTGACCCTTAACCAACATGAGTTATGTGCTGGATTTCTGTTGTCATATCTAATGTTCTCACTCCTCTGTGGGAAAATGTATAGATTTTGATTATGACCCTGCGACCTTTTGTCGAGATTCTATTTACAATTGTTTTGTAACTGTAATTTGGGTCTTTTACCTTGGCAGATTAACACTTGCAATGGTTTTTACTGCGATTATTTCTCTCCGAATAAGGATAACAAGCCCAAGATGTGGACTGAGGCTTGGACTGGCTGGTATAAAAATATTTCTCCTTATTAACAAAGGCATCGAAAGTTTCAGTTGATTAATGTGCTTTTATATGATTCAGGTTCACTGGGTTTGGTGGTGCAGTACCACAAAGACCAGCAGAGGACATGGCCTTTGCTGTTGCAAGGTTTATACAGAAAGGTGGATCTTTTATTAATTATTATATGGTAAGGAGTGCTGATATCTATATATAGTCAATAAAGAACATTCACTTTATTGCTCTGGAAGTAGTTTATGCTCTAATATGATTGAATGTGGTGTATTTATAATCTTTTTCAGTATCATGGAGGAACTAATTTTGGCCGGACAGCTGGAGGTCCTTTTATCTCAACTAGCTATGACTATGATGCTCCAATTGATGAATATGGTATATATCTAAAATCTTACTCGTTTATGATGTCAATTTTTAGTTATTTCTGAATTGTTCTTTTATCAGTTTACCCGCCACTTGTCTCCAAATCGATATGAATTTGGTAGGAGTTGCAAATAGAGAAACATCTGCATAATGCATCCTACATCCTTAATATTTGGGATCAAACAAAGAACATAGTAACGTATTCAAACAAGTGTCATGATAGTTTCTCCAATAGCTAAAATTTTTCTTCTTAGTGTATCCAGAACTGAAACATCAAATTGTAGAACCAATTGAAGCTCATATTCGACATTAACGAAGTATCAAAAGTAAAACATTCACCATATGATATAATTTTTCCCTTAATTATATAGGTCTACTAAGGCAACCGAAATGGGGTCATTTGAGAGATCTACATAAAGCAATCAAACTATGTGAACCTGCTTTGGTTTCTGGTGAACCGACAATTACATCACTTGGGCAAAATCAAGAGGTTTACTTCTCCCTTTTGTATACTTTTATGGTAATTCATCATAGAAGTCTTCAAATTATAAAAAAAAACTAATATTTTGGTGGTGCTTTGTGTAGTCTTACGTGTACAGGTCAAAATCGTCTTGCGCAGCGTTTCTTGCCAATTTTAATTCGCGGTATTATGCGACAGTCACTTTCAACGGCATGCACTATAATCTTCCTCCGTGGTCTGTCAGCATCCTTCCCGACTGCAAAACTACAGTTTTTAACACTGCAAGGGTGAGATAAACAATATAAACAACTTTATTGCTGCATATCTCTCTGTTAATTTCTATAATTTTTTAACTTTTGGATTTTTTTCAAATATTAGTCCCTTAAATCTTTCATATTTCGAAATTAGTCCCTCAAATCATTGAAATTGCGATGTCCCCTAGTTCTTAAGCTATTTTGAAACTAGTCCCTCAGAACATTGAAATTGCTATGTCCCTCGAATCATTGAAATTGCTATTATGTCCCTTAATTCTTAAGTTGTTTCAAATTCATCCCTCTAATGGCTACTTCTGTCATTGATTGGAGGGATTAATTTCAAATTAATTTAAGAATTGGGGGACCTCATTCCAATTTCATTGATTTGAGTAACTAATTTCAAATAACTTAAGAATCGGATGACTGAATAGGAAATTCATTGATTTGAGGGACTAATTTCAAAATATTAAAGATTAGACTAACATCGAAAAACACCCTTAACTTTTTGATCGATTCTTTAAACATCTCGTGCATAATATACAGGTAGGAGCTCAAACCACAACTATGAAAATGCAATATCTTGGTGGGTTTTCTTGGAAAGCATATACTGAAGATACTGATGCCTTAAATGATAATACATTCACAAAGGATGGATTGGTAGAGCAGTTAAGTACAACGTGGGATCGTTCAGATTATTTGTGGTACACTACATAGTGAGTATCTGAACAGTGAACAATATGTCTTGTTTAGTCCTTTTCTGTTTGAAAAGTAACTTTAGAATCTTATTAATTCATAATTGCAGTGTTGACATAGCCAAAAACGAAGAATTTCTAAAGACTGGGAAATATCCGTATCTCACAGTGATGTCAGCTGGTCATGCTGTGCATGTGTTCATCAATGGACAACTTAGCGGTCAGTTTATTGTATTATTTTGAATTTGAAATTTTGGGCTTGTTTCTATGCAAATCTTCAGTTTTCTCTGATTTTTTGTTGTTATTTTTTCCTTTTTGTAGGAACGGCGTATGGTAGTCTGGATAATCCAAAACTGACATATAGTGGGAGTGCAAAGTTGTGGGCAGGCAGCAACAAAATCTCTATTTTGAGTGTATCTGTTGGGCTGCCTGTATGTTTTATTTGTTCTTTATGCTTCTTTATAGTTGTTATTTTAAAATAGTTGATATGTGATCTTAGTCATCAAATCTGAAATTTAATCATCAAATTTATTTCAGAATGTAGGAAACCATTTCGAGACTTGGAACACAGGAGTGCTTGGTCCAGTGACATTAACCGGTCTTAATGAAGGAAAGAGAGATCTTTCACTGCAGAAATGGACTTATCAAGTGAGCTTTTATTCAATTTGCTTTCATAATTATAATTATATCCGGAAAGCTCAATAGTTTTAATGGTGATAACAGATTGGTTTGCACGGAGAAACTCTAAGTCTTCACTCACTCACTGGAAGTTCAAACGTTGAATGGGGAGAAGCTTCTCAAAAGCAGCCCCTAACCTGGTATAAGGTGATCAAGACAAATTAAACTCTTTAAGGAAACTCATTTTATTGTTCATAAAAATGTAAGCTAAATTGAGTTTACTTTTCTCTGTAGACATTCTTCAACGCACCACCGGGTAATGAACCGTTGGCTTTAGATATGAACACCATGGGAAAAGGGCAAATTTGGATAAATGGACAAAGTATTGGCCGATATTGGCCTGCCTATAAAGCTTCTGGTTCTTGTGGCAGTTGTGATTACCGCGGAACTTACAATGAGAAGAAATGCTTAAGTAATTGCGGAGAGGCCTCACAACGATGGTAAAAAACCTAACTTAACATCAAAATTCTTTTTAATTTTTGCTAACGAAACCAATTAAAGTATTTTTTTGACTAATTTTTCAGGTATCATGTTCCTCGTTCTTGGCTAAGCCCAACGGGGAACTTTCTCGTTGTGTTGGAAGAATGGGGCGGTGATCCTACTGGGATTTCTATGGTGAAAAGATCAGTAGCGAGTGTTTGTGCTGAAGTTGAAGAGTTGCAGCCTACGATGGATAACTGGCGTACCAAGGCTTATGGCAGACCGAAGGTTCATTTATCTTGCGATCCCGGCCAAAAAATGTCTAAGATAAAGTTTGCTAGCTTTGGTACTCCTCAAGGCACTTGTGGAAGCTTCTCAGAAGGCAGCTGCCATGCGCACAAATCTTATGATGCTTTTGAGCAGGTAAAATTTAAAATTCACACCCCTAACAAAAAATAAAAATTAAAAAATTAAAAAAAGTATCTTCCTTCGTTGAGGAGTTTAATGCAGAATTTTAACACAGGAGGGTCTAATGCAGAATTGTGTCGGTCAAGAATTTTGCTCTGTAAATGTTGCTCCTGAAGTCTTCGGAGGAGATCCTTGCCCTGGAACTATGAAGAAACTTGCGGTTGAAGCCATTTGTGAATGATTTTCCCACGACAATCTTTGCATTTTCCTTTGCTATATATACATCTCTCAGTACAGAGTTAAGTTATACCTCAATCGGAAACAAATAGTTTTCAGAAATTGAGGCAACTCTGTTTATTTCGAAATTGGTGAAGGTGTCAATGTACATAGATTGGCTGCTTTTTACACCTCTTTTCTATTTGGCGTAGGGGGGAATAAATGGAGGGGGTGGAATATGAGGCAGGGTTTAGATTGGCTCTGCATATGTTACGTTGTAATGTTGTATGTGAAAATAGAAGCAATCATCAAGTCTAAGGACAAATCCTAGGCTTGCAAGGTTTTAGCTACTTATGGTAGATCCAATTAGGCTTGTGTAAGGTTTGAAATTGCTTTCTTTTTGTTCTTGTAAGAAACCCAAGTTGTGATGTTATATACAAATACTATACCCGAAATTGTTTTAATTGGAAAATGACATTTGTGATTGGAAAATGATGTTAAACCTTGTATAATTAGTTACATCTTTACAACTGAAAGCAAGATCTAATATGGTTTAAGCCGATGAGGACTATCTAACTAATTAATAAACATGGTGTTGTTGACTTTCAAGTATGTGGGGGCTTTGAGATTTCAGTTTTCGGGCAGGTGACAGTATTAACATAGGAAGGTTGTTTGGTTGGATTTTTACTCTTGGTCTAGTCTCTTGTATTTGACAAAATTATAGCCTTTGCCCTGAACTTGGTAAAATTTTAGGTGAAACTTATGATTCTTCTTAATTTTTTCTGGTTTATCTGCGGAGGTTCTTTCTTTTGTCTGTAAATGTAGTAATTTCAAACACAAAACTCTTGGTTCTTTAGTTCCCTTCAGTAACTGCTGATTCATGGACCCACTGTCCAAAATACACGCGTCGTATGCTCATTCGTGTATTATCAGGTAGCTCGTAAGCTTAAATGTGAATAGGTCCAATAGCTTAATGATGCACAAATTAATCTCATTTTTGGCAAGGAGAAGCAGAAGGAACCTCTAACCAAAACTGAAGAATTACAGGAAACAGGAAGAAACCAGCCAGCCAGACTGGCGGTTGATCGCCAACGTACCGTGGATGACTGTAATGGATTTATGCTCTCGGGTTTGTGGTTCGGTCGACCGTCGCGGTCGACCGCGAGACCTGCGCGGTCGATCGTCGATGTTTTCTGGGCTGGGCTTCGGTTTTTTTAACCTGATTCGTTTTCTAAGTTATATATATCCCTAAACCTGATTTGTTAGGGTTAACTCAAGGACGATTTTGAGCAGCCTTGAAGAGAGAATTGTTGCATCTAATTGTGGGAGAGTTGTGAGAGATCTAGAGCTTTGTTTTAGGGTTTGATCGGTGAGATTTGTAACTCTATTTGTGTTCTCTTGATTTCTTATAGTAAGAACCCCCTCCTCCTTGCCCCGTGGACATAGGCAACTTGTCGAACCACGTAAATCTCTTGTGTTATTTGGTGATTGTGCTTGTTTATTTGGTTGTGATCTCTCTTGTTCGGCTTGTGTGATTCGACCGCTTCCACGCCGCGCACAACAATTGGTATCAGAGCTTCGGGTTCAACTTGAGGCTTGTTTGAAGGATTCGCTGAAGGATTCCTATTTGAAGAGTTAGATCGACAACATGGGTGAAGCAAGCATATCGGGATCGTCTCTTACGAAGACGATACATAGTTTGAGCATCAATAACATGAAGATCGATGTTCCGAAGTTTGATGGTAAGATCAATTTCCCAGGTGATGGATGCGTTGGACGCTCAGAATTTGGAGGAGGCTCTTGAGTTACAAGAGAAACCTGCCGAGATGGAAGCTAAGGTTTGGAAGAAGATAAATAGTAGGGCGAGTGGAGTTATTCGGTCATGCTTGACGCCGGATCTTATTTATGATGTGATGAACGAGACGTCGGCGAAGAAGATGTGGGAAACACTCAATGAAAAGTAACTTACTAAGAGCATTGAGAATCGGCTTCACTTGAAGAAGAGGTTTTACCAGTTCAAGATGAAGAAGGGAGTTTCCATCAGGGAGCATGTTAACAACTTCACGAAGCTACTTTCAGACATGACCAATGTGGATATTATGGTTGAGGATGAAGACAAGGTGATGCTACTTTTGTGTTCGTTGTCCGAGGATGATTATGGTACCTTTGTTCTCACTATGATTAATGGAAGAACTACTGTTAGCTATAAGGAGGTGACCTCAGCGTTGGTGAATTATGAGTTGAGGAAGAGTGTTGATGAGTCCTTTGAGAAGGCATCGGGAGATGCATTAGTAGTTCATGGCCATGGTTCAAACCGAAGCAGGAGGTCGCAGTCTAGAGGTGCACATCGTGGGATTCGTAGGAATCAGTGTGTCTTTTGTAAAAAGGATGGGCATTGAAAAGCCGAATGCCCAAAGTTAGATCGAGCCGAGAAGAATAAGGGGAAAGCTGTACAAGGTTCAGAGGTGAATATTGTCAAGACTAGTGGTAACAATTCAGATTCGGATTCTTCGGGCTATTCATTGTCTGCACTTCCGTCAGTTTGTGTTGCCAACTCTACAGAGTGGATGTTGGATTCGGGTGCTTCATACCACGTTTGCCCTAGGAGGGATTGGTTCTCCAGCTTTCAGAAGTTGGAAAGAGAGGATGTTGTGCTCATGGGTAATGGACATGCATGCTCTATTGGTGGTATTGGTACCGTTCGGATTAAGATGAGTGACAGGATGGTGCGGGAGTTGAAAGAAGTGAGGTTCGTTCCGCAGTTGTCAAAGAACATCATTTCACTAGGAGCTTTAGTGGCATCTGGCTATAAAGTGACCTTGGTGGATGCACGTTTGAAGGTCACATTGGGGGTCCATGATTGTGATGAAGGGTATCAGAAGGAGCAATTTGTATTATTTGCTCGGAAGCACGACGGTTGATAGGGAGATGACGACTTCATCAGATTTGGCTAGACTGTGGCGTTGTTTGATACTGGGTTATTTGATTGGTAATGCCGTGCATAGGTTATTGAGGAGTGCTTTGACCTGCAGTTTGAAGTCCTGTGAACCCATTGGTATGAGCGAGAAGACCGAGGTAGAGTTTGGCACTTCTATCCATCATTCGAGGGGTTTTCTAAGGGGTGTTTATTCAGGCATTCAGGAGCCTTCCAAGGGAGCATTATTGGGAGGTAATAGGTATGTGGTTTTCCCAGTTGGTGATTGCTCTAGGCATTGGTGGGTTGCAACCAAGTCCCGTTGGTGTGAAGTCCTAGAAGCCCGCAACAGATGGAGGAAGTGTGTTGATAGAAAGGTAACCCGACGTTCTGATTATGATAGGGGTTCTTTCTTGCATTTGTACCGAGCTCATGGCAATAGGAGACACTTCATTGGTGTGGAAACTTTGAGGCGACAAGGCGAGATGGCAGATTTGGGCAGCTGTTCCTTTCTGGAGGAGGATCGGCGTTTGATGTCAAGCATTGGTATTAGTGTGCAGACTACGACAGGTTTGGGCCGTCTCATGTATAGGTTGCCGACTGCTGCATGTAGAGATATGAGATCTGGTGGAGCTACTTCAGATTTTGGGTTGCGTCGGATGTTTGGCTACCCAGCACCTGGTCACATCGTGGATGTGAGATTTGATCCGATAGCACATTTGGGATTCAGAGGCGTGTTTGATTATCATGTATTGGCTTCTGACTTTGTTCTGAGCAGGTATGTCACGTTTGACTCTCGGCAGGTGGAGAGTGGTGATCAGATCTTTAGGACATCGCAGCAGGTGGAGAGTGATGCTACTCCACGTTGGGTGGAAACTCCAAATCATACCGCATCATTTGGGATTCCAGCTGATGTGACACAGATTGGGAATCATGTTGATTTGGATGCAGATGATAGGTTGATTGATTTGAGTACAGCTGATAGATGTAGTCTGGATATGGCCATTGGTTCATCTCAGGTGGAGATGTTTGTATTAGTTCAGTTTGAGGCCATTGGAGGTGCTATCAGCCGCAGACTTGATCGTGATGTTGGAGAAGGGTTGCAAACTCTTCTAGTGGATTGAGGCTTTTGGAGGCCATTTGGGTGAACTACGTTCGGCTTGATTCCTTGGGCAAGAGGATACGTAGACAGTCTTTCACAGATGGCACCCTGGTTTGGATCAGTTTGATTCGGATCTGGGGCTGGTGATGGGGGGGGGAGGATCTGGTTCAGCTCTAGGATTGGTTTTCCGCTGACTTGTTGAGGACTATTATTGGAGATTTGGTGTCCGGCTCACGTTTTGGTGAAACATTCGCCGAGGTGGAGAATTAAGAATTACAGGAAAACAGGAAGAACCAGCCAGAACTAGCAGTCGACCGCCAGCGTGGCAGTCAGGCCACTGGGTTCGGAGATGACAGCGGGTTCGACCGCACGCGGTCCGACCGTGGATGACTGTAATGGATTTATGCTCTGCGGGTTTGTGGTTCGGTGACCCACCGCGGTCGACCGCAATAGTATTTGGAGAGACGGCGGTCGATCCGCTGCGGTCGACCGTCGATGTTTTTTGGACTGGGTTTCGGTTTTTTAACCCGATTCGTTTTCTAAGTTATATATATCCCTAAACCTGATTTGTTAGGGTTAACTCAAGAACGATTTTGAGCAGCCTTGAAGAGAGAATTGTTGCATCCAATTGTGGGAGAGTTGTGAGAGATCTAGAGCTTTGTTTTAGGGTTTGATCGGTGAGATTTGTAACTTTATTTGTATTATCTTGATTTCTTATAGTAAGAACTCCCCCCTCCTTGTCCCGTGGATGTAGGCAACTTGCCGAACCACGTAAATGTATTGTGTTATTTGGTGATTGTGCTTGTTTATTTGGTTGTGATCTCTCTTGTTCGGATTGTGTGATTCGACCGCTTCCGCGCCGTGCACAACAAAAACACTAAAATGATGAAATTTTGGGTAGTTGAGAAATCAAGTGAAGAGTGCTTGAGCTACTCGTGGCTATACCAAAATGAGAAGAAAAATTCATTTCTCCTCTTTAATGCAACGGTACAATAAAGTTTTGCCAAGTGGGTGGTGAGTGGCTTTCAACCATAGAGATTTTCATCAACATGCAAACGTGACATTTTGAAACGTTTCTAATTTGATCTTAAACTTTGGCTAACAAACTAATTAACTACAAAGGATTTGAGCACATTAGGAGGAATTCTCTTGTATCACTCCTTTCCTTATTCATTATTGACATGAAGAAATTAGGATGTTGAAATTATACCAACTTACATCAATGTAGCAAAATGCTTTAAATAAATATCTCAAAAGCTTATTATGTGCACCAATATAATTCATGGCAGATTTGTATCAGATATCATCAATGAGACGACAAATAATCGCATAGATCAACTAATAGAAAGTATGAAGACAAAATGGGCACGGAGGGATGTAATTTTATTGAGAAACTGATATTAAGAAACACTTCACACATGTTGAACTCAAATCATTGAAAATTACTCTGTATTAATTGTATTTGGGAAAAAAAAG